GTTCGAAATACCACCACTGACCTAAAAACATGATAGTTATGTATATATATGTATATATAAAAGAAATTTATACCTAATTTTTTTTTTTTTTTTTAATAAAATATTATTCATTTATATTACCTTTGCACCAGGTAATGTTTGTTTTATTACTCTAGTAGCCTCAATAAACTCCACACCGTAATTATTATGCTCTTCCATACCCGTACAAATTGTCAAAATATTTGGATCTATTTTGGAATAATAAAATTAGTTCAAATATGATAAATGGTAAAAGTGAAATTTATAAATGTATTAAAAATAATATTAGGATTATTATAAGCGTACCAAAAATAATATCATTAGAATTAAATCCAACAACTTCTGTCAAGATCTTATATTCTCTCGTACATATTTCCACTTTACGATCTTTTAGATCAGCCTGACCTACCTCATCAAACTACCATTATTTGTTATTATATGTGAAATAATAATATATTTTTTTTTTAAAAAAAAAAAGAAAAATCGTAAAGTATAATAGATATAATAAATTTTTGATTAAGAAACTTACGGCCATACAAACAACAGCTGCACCAAATCTTCGAATAATCTTTGCTTTTTTAATAAAATCTTCTTCACCCTCTTTTAAACTGATACTATTAACTATACACTTTCCTTGTGCACATTTTAATCCAGCCAATATAACTTCAAAATTTGAAGAATCTACCATAATAGGAACCTAAATTTAAAGATAATAAAATTTATTAAATCATTGCTTAATATAAAACAATAAAAAAATAATAATAATTTACCTTAGCAACATCAGGATCACAAGAAATTAAATTCAAAAATTTAGTCATTGCAGCTTTCCCATCCAACATTCCTTCATCCATATTAACATCAATAACTTGAGCACCATTTTCAACTTGAGCTCTTGCAATTGTCATAGCTTCTTCATATTCACCGTTAAGAATATGACGACAAAATTTTCTCGAACCAGCTACATTACATCTTTCACCTAAATTAACAAAGTTTGATTCTTTGCTAATTTTCAGGACTTCCAAACCAGATATTAACATATTTTCCAAACGAACATCAGGTGGTGGAACTCGAGGCTTGTAATGAGAACAAGCATCTACTATGGCTTTTATGTGAGGAGGTGTGGTACCACAGCAACCACCCAATAAGTTGACTAGACCATCTCGAGCGAATTCTTGAACTTTTGCAGCCATCATTGAAGGAGATTCATCATATTCACCAAACGTGTTTGGAAGACCCTAATATTAAAAAAAATTAACAATTAGTATCATATATAAGTTTTAAATATATATAAGTTTTTAAATATTATAAATATTTTATACCAACCGCATTGGGATAACAAATTACAAATGAACTTGTAAACTTTGCAATATTTTGAATAAAAGGGCGCATTTGCTCAGCACCTAAGGCGCAATTCAATCCGATGGCTAAAGGATGAGAGTGACTAACGCTAACCACAAAGGCCTCACCAGTTTGACCACTGAGAGTACGGCCAGATTGATCGACAATAGTACCTGAAATAAATATTGGAGTTCTTTTATAAGAACCTTCTTCGAATAGCGTATCAATTGCGAAAAGGGCAGCCTAAAATTAAAATAATAAAAAAAATTTAGGTATAAATTTCTTTTATATATACATATATATACATAACTATCATGTTTTTAGGTCAGTGGTGGTATTTCGAAC